CACCTAAAACGAGTTCACCCTAATGTAAACGCTCCCAGGCATGGAAGCCGAGGAGTCACCGTCGAGAAATTTTCCAGCGACCTCCACGCTCTTCCTAGGATATAGATTGCTCACTCTATTCTTGGATTCATTGAAGAATCTGTGAAACGTTTTATTCATCTTATTAACTTCCGGGCTCGATTTCCCTTGGTAATATGTTCCATTTTCCATCGATCACCATGGTTAACGGCGAGACCTCGATATGCTCGGCACTAACGTTCCGAAGCCCTCCGCCGCAGCATAAGCTCCTTTAGCGTCACATCAGAAGCCCTCCGCCGGAGCTTCAACAAATCCGGAAAACTGGTTCTTCAATCTGCCGGCGACCTGTGTTGTTGGCGAGACTTTCCAGGCACAATATGCCTTGGTATTTTGCTCAGATTCCGTCGTCCATCATAGATATCGACGAGTTTTGTCGGCCTTACTCCTGGTGGTTGCTGTTGACGCCGACGAGATAAAAAACAATTAGTAATAGGCGCTAGGGTTAAGCTCTAAGGTTATTTTTTTAGGGTTTTTATCAGCGGCGGCCGACTTCAATTTTTCGTTTGATTTCTTCCAAGGATTACTCATCGTGAGGCTTATAAGCCTTGTGGTGCTTCTCTTTACTGCTACGTGCAGTTGTTTTCGTGTGTTTCACTTATGTTTTGATTACGTTTTGACTTTTACTTAACCTAGATCCGGCTATTTTCCTCCCTGTTTACGCTAGATCTGTGTAAAGCGATGTCACAACATCGTTATTCTAGAGAAGAGAAGGGGAATGCCATAGCAGGCTCGAGCAAATGGATCCGGAACCCTCCTATTCTCCTTCTAGATGGAGAAGATGAAACCTTGATCGAGGAGAACAATTAACCCTCATAGATAGGGTTCTACACCCAGCAACTCAAAGTCCGGCAGCAGTCATCATTTTCTTCCCCCAAATCTGGGGCCTAGCAGGCAGAGTTGAAGGAAAAGTTCTAAGGCGTAAACGGTTCCAGTTCCGCTTTCAATCAGAAGGTGATTTGAACTCGGTTCTGCGACGTGCTCCCTTCCACTACAAAAGATGGATGTTGGTGATACAGAGATGGGAACCGTCTATCGTAGTTTCTTTCCCGAGTGAAATACTTTTTTTATATCAAGATCAATGACCTTCCAACACACTTTTGGACTTACAATAATCTCAAAACAATTGGAAGCTCCTTAGGAAGATACATGGACCACGAAACAAAAGAGGGACGTGTTCAGGTCAGACTCCAAGCTTTCCAACCCCTGATCATGAAGGATTCAGTTCAGTTCAAAGTAGGAGGAGCAAAAGCCCCGGTAGA